ATCTAAGATTTCAGACACAATACCTGGTATTTTAAAATCCGGGGACTCAGATATAGAACTGAGTACATGACACATGAGATAGCTTCTGGTTGTACCTACTATCTTCAAATATAGGCACAGCTATGGTGCAATGCATGAAGTTCAGTCTAGTCCCTGGAACTCAGATCCTGGACACAAATTTCCCACCATCTTATATCCTTAGTACCCCAGTGTTTGGAGTACACACACCTCTAACAATTTCACATTCCACCATCATAGGACCCTGGGAGGCAGATGTCCCAATCAATTCAACTTTCCCAATGCTGGAGCTTTCAAATTCACAGGTCCTACTCACCCAATTACAGTGATTCAGTTACAGTCTCTCAAGGTTGAAAAAAAGTCCCTTTACTACTTCTCTCTGTATTCTCATTCCCATCCAGACAAACTCAATTCCACTCCAGTCCCTTTCCTCCTCTGCTTTTCTTTTTCATTGTCTATTGCGCCTTCTACATCCTCCACTATGTTGAAATAATACTCTTTTGATCTTAAATCCCTTCTTTTGAGATTTTCTATACTATTGCACTAATTAAAAATTGACTTTCTCTCCAGAAGGTACTGTATCATTAGCCATCATCTATAATTCTGATTACATCTACTTTTATCAGTCCCAAAATGCCAGACTAGGAAAAGGAGGAGGTATACTCCTTTGTCTTCACTGCCACTTCTAAATCTACCTTCTGCAACCATCATTTAGCAACTTCTCTTTTTTAAGTTAATTCATCTCTCTATATTACCTATCCAGAATTTTCTTGTATGATCTGACCTCCAAGTCAATCCTCCTTTCAGTCAATACTTGACTCACAGCCTTCCTCTTCTCCTCAACATCTGCCTTCATATGTAGGGAATTAAACATACACATTTAAATCTCCTCAAACCCTTTCAGCTAGGTTCAAATCTTTTCAGCTTCAGTGCATGCCCTATAGCTTAACTCTCCATCAGACACCCAAAAGAAGATCTAATACCTTAGATCTAATGATTATCCACATTTGTGTTACAGGCATAGTCATAAATTCTTATAGGCTTTCTTTTTTTTCTGTCTTTCCCTGTGCATAACTTCGATAGTTCTTTCATTCTTCCTTATTCTTCCATTCCATCATTCTTTCTCTGGTCTTACTTTTTTCCCTTCATTGTTTTGGTGTTATTAACCAATAAAACTAATCTTGCTTTCTACCCCTTGATTTCATTGTCCCATTTTTCATCAGTAATTCAAGTTCTACCAATATTCAATGTCAACTGAGTCTACAACAGGTAATCTAGACTACAAGTTATCTTACTGCTACATGGAGATTCATTTTAAAAATTAAGTTTTATTTTATTTTCAGATCTCTATTCTCTCTGTCCCACCTTTCCTTGAGCAAGAAAACAAAACCTCTTTTATGAACACATCTACTATAGCAATATAAATTCCTACATTGGTCATATCCAAAAATATATGTCTCAATCTGTATGCTGAGTGAATCATGTATCTGTCAGGATGTGGGTAGCATGTTTCATTTTGAGTCCTCTGAAATTCAAGATGGTAGGTCTTGTGGTTGGTTATTGTGTTGATTAGTCTTTCAAATTTGTCTATCTTTACAATATTGCTGTTATTTTACATATTGTTCTTCTGGTTCTGCTCAGTTGACTCTGCATCTGTTCATACATAATTCTTTCCAGATTTTTCTGAAATCATCCTCTTCATCATTTCTTATAGTTCAATAGTATCCCATCATATATATACATATGTAAATGAATATTGTGCATGTATATACATATATACACATATATTGATATGTATATATGAGTATGTATGTATGTGTGTATACAGGTATGTATATTGTTTATGTGTATATGTATGTATGTATGTATGTATGTATGTATGTATGTATTTACGTATCTTTCTATCTATTGCAGCCATTCCCAAATTGTTGATAGGCACTTTCTTAGTTTCTTGTTCTTTGCCACCACAAAAAGAATTGAAATAATTAATTTTTGTTTATATGACTCCCTTTCCTTTTTATTTTATCTCTTTGGGGGTATGGACATAATTGTGTCATAACTAGGTCAAAGGGTATGCATAGTTGAATAACTTTTGGAGTATGGTTCCAAATTGCTTTCTAAAATGGTGAAATCAGCACTCAGTTCCACCAAAGTCTGCATGGAAATCCTTAACTATCTATTCTATTTCCTTTAGCTACTATTCTAAAGGTCCTATCCTCAAGCTTACGAAACTACCTCTACCATCTTTTCTTTCAACAGAAATCTTCTCTTCCATTTTTTACTAAGAAAATTGAAATCACTCATGGTATCATAGATCTAGAGCTGAAAGGAACCACAGAGATCATCTAGCCTAACTCCCTAATTTTATAGATGAGCAAATTGAAACCCAGGGGGGATGAGCGTTCTGCCCAAGAAGGTATAAGTAGTTAAATTCCACAGAAAGTATTTGAACTTAGTAAATCTGACTTCAGAGGCAGTGCTTTTTGTGCTGAACCACACTGTCTCCTTCAGGAGCTCCTTCATTCCCCTTGCTCCATCACTCAAAATCTATTATTATATGTTCACTTATCCTATGTTCCTTTACTACAATCTCCAAACAAAGTGCCACCTCTTTTCACTCTATGAAAAAAAGATTCATAAGTTTACAAGCAAAATAAGAGGAAATGAGTGATATTAAAGCCATTTGTGTCAAAGCATCTTGTGTTCTAATATTTGGTGGGTAGGTTTTATGTTATTAATATTTGCATCTACTAGCACTCACAATCCAAGCTGATACTTCATTTTTCTTTAATACTTAAATATATTATTACAGGTTACCAGAAGACAACCAATCTTAACCTTATGAATTGAATTATATGAGACAAAAATTAGCCGGCATTTTCATAGGTGAGAATAGCTGTATCATTATTATCATATTATTATTATTAATGTTTACCCATCTGTGAAGGTGGACTTTGAATACTGTAATCAAGCCAACAAAAGAAAGACAAAACCCCAGGCATTAGATTATTTTCTAAAGGCTGGGATAGGTCTATATAAAACAGATTTTGCTGAATCAACTTTTTTATATTACATATTTTAACCTAATATACACATATACTTATGTATAAGAGAATCTTATTCATTCTATGTCTCTAATACATCTCAAAAGGCTTCTCCAAATTCCTACTGCTTCTATCCTAGATAATTGGTTCCAGTATTACTTCAGTCAAATTCATTTATCACACTTCTGCCAGATAAATCTTTTTTTGCAAATATATCTTGACATGTCACTCTCATGCACACTTTTAAAAACTTTTTATACAAACATTTTACTTTACAAACATCTCTTACTGTGTCACTCTCATATACGATTTTTTGTATCAGTTGACAATTATATCTGCCAACTAAATCCAAACTCTGTAGAGTGACTTTAAAGGATCTATACTATCTGATGGCATTCTATCCTTAACTGTTATTACATATTACTCTCCTTTGAGTGTTCAGTGTTTCAGCTGCTCTGGAATTCTCATTATTCTATTAACTCATCTCATATTCTTTGTCATTTGTAACTTTATCTACACCATTCCTTATATGTGAAATGCCTTCTCCTTGTCATCTTTACCTGCCCAAATTCTACCAGTTCTTTAAAATCTAGCTCAAATGTTATGTCCTAGATGAAAATTCTGACTCTCCCTGGGTGGATAGGATTTCTTTCTCTTCAAATCTCTCATTTTGTTTTGTTTGTAGTACCCATATTTATTTATCATAAGCTTCTTTTTATTATAGCATAGTTTTCCTATGTACCAAATCAGATTGGTTGATTCCAATATGGCAGATCCTGTTGACTTCTGATTATAACCTACTCACACCTCTCCATCTTAAACAATACACATTGGAATTTGTTTCTCTTTAGTTTTCCCTTAGACTTCTTCATAAATGACATGAGTCACAAAAACCCTCTTCTCCATAGCAGATGTTCTTCTAGAGTTGCCATGGTTGAAAAAATTTATAACCTTGTGGCCAACTCTCTGGTGATTTTTTTTCCAACTTACCTGTCTAGCCCTCAGATGAAATCAATATTGACAGGCACAATATCTTATTACAAGGTTTTTAGCTTAGTACTACATGCCAGAGCTTGTACTTTACTGGCATATCCCTTGAATGGCAAAGTTACTGAAGTAGTAATTCTAATTAATTACTTCCATAACTTAAAATTGATAATTTTATGCTAAGTTTAGAAACATAGTCAGGAAAACTTGGTTAATCATTGTTCTACACTAACTAGATGTGTGACTTTGGAGGTGTCTGTGAATTGTTAAGTGTTGCAAGGTCACTACTTTTGGATTTAAAGCACCTGTGTTCAAATTCCAGTCTCGTAACTTTGTACTTATGTAACATTGAGCATGTCACTTAATCTCTCAAAGTCTCAGTTTCTTCATCTACAAAATTAGGGAGTTGGTTAGATGGTCTTTAAAGTGCCCCCCTTTTTTGGGGGCAGGGCTAGAAACCAGATCTAAATCTATGAATCTAGGAAGAACACATAATTCCTTCAGAAGTTAATGAATCCCAGAGTCTACAAATACAAGCATAGATGTTTGCCTTTTTTGGGTTCAGAGTTTTTTACAATGCCTAAAGAAACTATAATAACATTTTTAAAGGACCTGACCAACAACAAAACAAGCCATTCTATGGGGGCTGTTTTTGTTTAAAAATGATACTCAAAGACATTCCCTTATGAAAAATTAAGGCCCAACTACCATTATGAAGAATAACCTCTGTGTAGATGCAGCTTTATTTAAAATCAGAAGAAAACTATAGAGAACACTGTAATTTTGTTAGCCTTGGTCTTTGAAACTATCATCTTTAAATAGTATGGATTTTTATGTGTTATTCCATTACTAATGTTTAGGAATGTTTATGAATATCTGACATATTCAGTAATCTCTGTATGTGAGTAGAAGTAAAACTTTGGTTTATATAATTTTCAATATTTTTATTACCTTTCACAGTCACATGCACACTCTGGCTTGTGGAGAGTTGAGGTTGAACCAGCACATTGCAAGTATATTCACCCTCATCAACTTCTTTTTGTACATCTGAGAGTTTCAAAGTCCCATTGTTCTCAAAAGCCACTTGACGGTGGTTAAAAGGAAGTAGGTTGGAATTCTTATACCATTTGATGGAATAATATGGATAACCAATCACACGGCAGTGAATGTATGTATCCCATCCTGCAATTGCAGTGATGTTTTTCATTGGCCGAATACTCGCAGGCCCTAGAGAAATATAAAGAAACTCTTCAAAATAATTTAAGGGTACACACCATGAGGAAAAACAGACATTCTTTCCTTGGCTTGTAAATATGAATAAATTCAATCTATAGACTTTACTAATCTTTTAACCTCAGTTTTCTGTATTCTCTGTTAGGGAGATAGTTGTGAATCCCAGCTCTAACATTTAAAAATTAATTATAGCAACATTAATTATGTTATTCCCAACTTTTTTTAAATACCAGATTTTTAAAATTGTAAATGAGAGGGAAAATTAATTTAACCAACAAAACTAAACTGTGCTATACTGAGCAATAAGTTGTATATGAAGAAATCAATATGATTTATCAATTATTTAACACTGTATATAAAGTATTGTGTAGATGTATATTATGCCATGTAGGGCTATAGATGCAAGTTAAGATGCCATGTACATGAAGAATCACTATGAAAGTAGGAAACTAAATATGAGGAAGGAAGTAAGAAACATGAATAGCAGAAATTTAAAAGTCAGAAAAAAAAAGATTAAAAGGGCAGGATTAAGAGGGAAAGATACAAAAATCTGACAAAAGAATAAAAATGTCATTTCTAAAATGAACATATTCGATGCATTCCCATAGTCAGAAGAAAAGGAGAATAACTGAGAAGAGCAAAAGACAGTTCAATTTCATATTTCCAGACTTAGCTTATTGCATACAGAAGTCTTTTTTCCCCATTATAAGGAGGTGTGTGTCCATGTGCATGTGCATGGGCACATGTGTGTGTGCATGTGCATGTGTGTATGCGTGTGTATGTGTGTGTGTGTGTTTTGAGGAGCTGATTTGACAAGCACCTCTTACGTTTATTCGAGCCTGGTATAGGACGACTCCTGCAGAGTTGTTGGCAGTGCAGCGATAGACTCCACCATCCCGAACCTGAGTGTTAGAAATATTCAGGTAGCTGACCACATTGCCCTCAGAAGTGATAATCTGGCTGACACGATGACTGCCACCCTTAAGTATTGGGTCATCATCTAGAGTCCATGTAATTGTGGGCAGTGGGGTCCCTTTCACATTGCACATAAGGGAAACAGGTTCTCCTGGACTCACCACTTTCTCACTAAAAGCAGAAATAATTTTGGGAGTTCCATCTGTAGGGAGAAAAAGAATTATGGAAGGAAGGAGCAACATTTAAAATTTTAAAGACATTTGTGAATTCATTAAAGGATAACGTCAAAGCAATGAAATTATGTTAATATGTTTTAAGAAATTCCATTGTTTACTATAATACATATTTTATTTTCATATGTAGGCTGAGTTCTATTAACATTCATGGTGTATAAAATATAATGCATAATAGTAGTGCATGTCATCCTAATGGATAATTATCATATCTCACTAATAGGTTACCTATGGCAACTGCTTTTTTAAGAAACTGATATAATTGATAATCTTGAAGATTGAATAATTATAAATCATTTGTCAACTGTATCTCACATAGTTAAAACTTAACAGAAAGTCAGCTACCACAGACTTCATCAGATGAAGCTTGGAGGTAAACAGTACTTTCTCAGCCATGTGAACACTAATTTTGTGATTATAATTGCACAAATGGCATGTGAAATGTCTCAATAACTTGTTCTATGGTATTCTGGACTTAACAGATTAGCAAAGAGCTGGTTAGACTGCAAAATTTAAGGTTTGGGGCACATTTTAAGCTCATTAAGTATCTTCATAAAAGTGAATAGATATCATACCTACTACTTCTATTAAATGCTTCTTTCTGCCTTGATGCATAATTCTATTCATATTACCAACTTCAGCAGAAAGTAGAATAAATACATTGCTTGGGCTAGGTGAAAAGAAGACTTAGAATTTAATATTATAGTACCAATAATAATATAACAATAAAAATATTATAGAATATGTCTTGGGTTTCTTTTTTGTATTATCAGATCATCAGAATGTATTTTTACCATAGTCTAAAAAGCTGGAAAACTGACCTTCAAGCATTACTTGAACATAGTCTTGAGCAGACATTTTGTCCTTTCGAACAAAGCACTGGTATGCACCACCATCACTTTTAACCATGTGATCCATTATAAGTTTTTCATGGTTGATCCCTGTAATCCGCACATTCTTCCCAGGTTTGAGGATTTCCCCATTTCGGTACCAGGAGAGTTCCTGATCCTCAGTTCCAGTAACACTACATGACAACGAAACTTGACTACCCACACTGCTCTTAACTTTCCTTGGGCTTATTGTGGCTTTTAGTGGCTCTAAAGATTTTGAAAAAAAAGGAAGACAAGAGGAGAGAAGAAGCATTCAACTAAACATTATTTCTACAGATTTTTCAGTAATCATATCCATAGTCCATTCAGAAAAGCATCAAAAACTTTGGTTAATAGATTCAAATGATATCATGATCAGTACCTTTTAATAAAATGTTGTATATAAAAATATTCTTCTTAATCTTTATTCTCCCTCTCCATGGTACCTCACAAAGTTATCAAATTTAAGATGGGTCATGGCTTAATTTATTTCTATCTAATAGGTAAGATGCTGCTGCCAAGCCACTATCCATAAAAAAATGTATTCAGAGTTGATTTTGCAATGATGCTGACGGATTTGGGTTGGGTCATCCACAAATCCATAAACAAATAGCTATTTTGTTTTGTTTTCCCCCTGAGGTCAATGGCATACAACTATGCAAAAGAAATACCCAAGATCCCAAATACAAATGACAGCCATAGGACACATTTTTTCTTAGTCCAAAACTATCTGACCTGGACATGGATAGACTGCAACCTGGTTCTCCTCAGCATTAAGCATGCCCTGATTTACTGAATCAAGATATTTACCTAATGTACTTCTAGAAAGTTTGAAATAATTTAAAGGTATTAATGCAAGATACCAAAGTAAATATCTGTGTTTTTATGTGTACTAAATCTTAATGGTTTAGGAGATACATTAATGGGATATCAGCAAACAAAAGGGACTTTCTGAACATACTGTCTTAGAATACTTGATATACCTTTTGACATCAACATTTTCCCTTCCAGGATATTGAGAATTGAAGGAAAAATGTTTGAAATGAACAGTTCTGCAGAATTAGTTCCATTCTTAGCAAATGGTAGTTTATATAAGAGGTAACATGGTCAGTTTTCTTCATAGCATCATCAAACAATTAAAAATTAATAACTGATATTTTTTAAAATGACATACCCAGAAAAAGAAATCTTTCTACTTCTTCAGTCTACCAAATAATTTACAGTGTGAGTTAAATAAAGATTTATGCTATGCCATACTGTCTGGACCACAGTCAAGAATGAGGTTTGCATAATAGAACGGGTTCAAAAGATGTAGCTATCTATAAATAGAAAGTATTAATTTAGATATGGAAGAACAACCTTGATTCAGCAGTGAATGCTATCAATTGTGCATTAGGATAGCCAGTACCAGCAAAAGGAATTTTTGGAATCAAATATACAGTAAAATAATATTCACTTTGAGCAATTGTTGCTTTTGAATTGGAACAAATGATGTTTTTAAAATTTTCAATCATTATAAAAATTACTCAGAAGGTTTGTGTGATTTACTTGTTATTCTTTTCCTATGTGTCTGGGGAAAAAGTTTACTAAAGCAAAATGTATATTCCCTTTGATGTACTTATCTCATAGGTTGATTATCAGGGTGAATTAAATACAGAGGTTTGAACTTTTAGAAGAAAAGGTCCTTTATAAACAAAATATTGTAAGAAATCGTTTTGGACAGGGAAAATAATAAAAAAGCCTAGAGAATTTACTCTAGTTCTTATGTTAAGAAAGCTAACACTTGGACAGCTCTTTGACCTCTCTGAGAGAGATAGACTTTTATCAGTCTCAGTTTCATCATCTTTAAAATATGGATCAAAATATAACCTATCTCAGAGAGTTATTATGAGGATCAAATAAGATAAGATGTCTAAAGTACTGTGCAAACTTTGAAGTGCTATGTAACTATTAGTTATTATTATAGAATGAAAAGATATGAGAACAAGACAATATTATAGCATTCCATTTGGTTTTGCTTTGTGACACTAATGATTAAGACATAGACGGGCTATTAATACCCACTTAGATAAAGATTTGTATACAATTCAGAGAAAATTCTAGAAATATGATGAACTTGCCAAGGAAACCAAGTCCCATTGAAAATTCTCAAGAATCTTTAGATTACTTCCAGGCAGTTCATTCATGGATAGCACTTTTTGTAATTGTATGTCAATTTCACTTCATGCAGAGAAAGGGACAATGTGAAAAAAAGTGAGAGTATTTTAATACTAAGAATTTTTACCACTAGAAAGTTTATAAATTGGAACTGTTCTGAGGAGATTTTTAATGACAGCTTACTTTATGAAAAATGAAAAACCTTACTTTATAACAGTAACAAGTTTTAATCATGTTGATTGCAACCATTTTATTTTTATGAGAAGAATCATCATGAATTTAATAAACATATTATTGGCTGTTGCTCTAGGCAATAAATTCCATATTCAATTTTAATAAAGGGATAGGCCACAAGCACTCAAGAACATAATTCAAAATATGCTGCGATTATTTTTGCTCAGACTTTTCAAAGATACTTTTATTTTATCCACAAGGTTTTTGTAAATGTATAAAAATTGCCCCACATGGTAGTTTTGACTTATTTTAAGATCCAGGATAGCATATCATAATTGATTTGTATGTGTAAGTTAGATTTTCACCAAGGCATTTTTCCCTGGGAAGGAAGAACTCTTCCGTATTAAGTAGTTCACTCACCCAGAAACCAAAAATCCATAAAAAAATTGGCTCAATACAAAGGTTACTTTTTCTTCTAACAATCTCTTTTTCTCAAGTTAAATGCATTGTTGATGCAGAGACAAACTGGAGTCCTACTTACGTTTTACATAAAGGTGACCTATCACTTTTGCAGTTCCATATCTGTTTGACACTTCACAAACATAGCTGCCAGAGTCTGAAGGACGAGAGTTCTCAATCAGCAACCCTGTCACTGTCTTCTGAAACCTTCCTACAACCTCTAGTGGCATATTATCCTTCAGCCAATGGTAATTTGGCTCTGGGTGCCCAAATGCTTTACAGGGTAGCTCCACACGCTGCCCTGCCATGGCTTTTCGATGGTCAAATCCATCAAGAATAGATGGAGCTGAGTTTGCTGGATCTATAAAGTGAATAATAGTTTTCAGATTTAGCAAATAAAGAGAATGACATTTTTCTGACCTACATAACAAACATACTCTTTTTCAAATAGTATTAGAAGGCATCATATGTTACAAGACTTAAGACCCATAATATCAGTTGGTGGCATGGAATTTGTGACAACATTTTCCATATTGAGTTACTTTTGCAATAGTTCTGATTTAGACTGAATAGTTCACTATATCAAGTTAAATTTCCTGTTCTACACAATGCTTTTTCTGGCCAAGAAATAGAGCATGCACTATATTAGTGCAGAAGTTCAATATTGTGGCCAATATCTTTCAAGGCTGTCTTGAGTAACTGATATCCCTAATGGCATGAATCCTGGCTTGTAAGGCAAAATTCTAATAGATTTTTTTCTGAAAGTCAAAAATAAACCCAAATTACTTTTTCTTTGCCTAAAATCTGACTAATTTAAGGAACTAATTCATGGAATTCTAATTACAGGGAATTAAGGAAAGATTTTGGCTTTGTTAAAAAAGTACCATGTGAAGATTTTCTTTTTCTTTATCTTATTACTGCTTTTGACAAAATAAAAATCAAAGGATGCTATATCAGTTCTCCTGTAAAATGTAAGACATTTTGAAAGACCACTATAAAATATTCTGATTACTATCAGTTGCTAGGTGCTCTCAACAATGCAATGCACTATCTAAGCCCTAGAGATACAAAACTAGGGAACATGGTGCCTATCTTTGCTATAAAACAAAATACAAAGTTGTTAAGTGAATAAGAACAGAATAAAGTGCTGTGAATTTTGATATGATAGAGGTGACTTTTGGAGCATTCCACATGTAAGAAAATGGCATGAATAAAGGCACAAGGGTGGGAAAACTCATGATACAATCAGGGAACAGTGAAGGATCTAGTATGGTTGGAATATAGTGTTTGTGAGGAGAAATAGTATGAGGTATTAGTGGAAAGATAGATTTGATCTAAGATGTTGAGAGACTTGCCTGTCCTCAAAAAGAATTTATGAAGATAGACTGGGAAACTGATGTTTCATAAATAGTTATCAATTTAAAGGGTTTACTGAAAAGCTGAGAAGGCACTGAACTGGTTTAACAATTATGATACTACTACTATTACTACTATTATTTCTAGTACTATTACTAAATGATAAAAGCTAACATTTATATGGTACCTGCCATGTGCCAAGCATTGTGCCAAATGCCTTACAATTATGATTATCATTTGATCCTCACAGTAACCCTGAGATGTAGGCACTTGTATTGTCCCAATTTTACAGATAAGGAAATTGAGACAAATAGAAGCTTAAGTGACTTGTCCAGGGTCACACAGTAAGTATCTGAGGCAGGAATTCAAATTCAGATCTTTTCAGATCTTTTTTCAGATCTTTTTTTTTTTTTATTCCAAGCCTGTCTATTTCCTACTGTGCCATTTACTTGACTAATTTTAATTTCACTGTGTTTTCAAAGTCAATACTGGGAATTAACAAGTTGCCCTTTCCAGCATGTGGTACTTCTTCCTAAACAACAAGGGCAGGGAAAAATTAAAGCACTTACTGTACTAATGGAATACCTCTGTATCTAGTAGAGCTCATTAACAAACAAAATCTATACCTGCTCAAACATAAGGGTTCATACTGCTTCTGACAAGGTTGACTCTGAAATTCTAAAACCGTACTTGAGTATTATCAATGGAAATTAGCCACTGGGATAGCCTCTTTCTACAGTGCTATCCTGGTATATAGTTGTAGAATAAATAACTAACAACTATGACATTCATTATATGCATTTAAAATTTAGGTATTGAAAAAAAAACCATGACCATATAAAAAATTCTAAGCCTGACCTATTTTTTTTTTTTTGCTTATTTTTTGGAGGGTCTAGGCAATGGGGTTAAGTGACTTGCCCAGGGTCACATATTTAGTGAGTGTTTTGTGTCTGAGGCTGGATTTGCACTCAGGTCTTCCTGAATCCAGGTCCAGTGCTCTGTCTGATGCACCACCTGGCTGCCCCCTAAGCCTCATCTTTAAGACACAATCAGAGTCAAATGTTCTAGTTTTATTTCAAGGTGCTACTGCTCATGTATTAAAGTTCTAGATAGATTGAATTGCTCATGTCCCCCAGTCTTTTCAAATTCTCTACCAACTTCACGTGTTTGCCCACACTATCTCTCAAGTCTGAAACATGCTACTTTTTCATTGCTGTCTGTTGACATCTTTCTCTTCCTCTAAAGCATAGTTCAGGTCCCATCTCCTCCATAAAGTCATTCTTGATCTTCTTATATAAAAGTGATTTCTCCTTCCTAAAAGTTTCTAAAAGCCACCTGAAATTATTTTTGTCCTTCATTAAATCACAGAATTTCACAGTTGGAAGAGACATTACAGCCTCTCTAGTTTAATCCAAAACTGAACAACAGTCTCTTCAATAATATATGATAACAATAGATCATTCCAGTGTTCTTGAAGACTTTCAGTCAGAGATTACATATTAAAATCTTCATAGGAATTTTGTCTTAAAAAGATCTTATTGCTAAGATGTATAGGGAACTGTTGCAAATTCATCAAAAAAAAAAAGACATTCCTACATTGATAAATGTCCAAAGAATATGAACAGCCATTTTTTAGAGAAATACAAGCCAATAGTAGCCAGATAAAAATGCTCTAAATCACTAATAATTAGAAAAATGTGAATTAAAACCACTCTGAGATTCTACCTCACTCTCATCAAATTGATAATAAGGACAAAAAGTGACAAATGCTGGACAAAATATAGGGAAAACAGGAACATTAATGTAGTACATGAAAACTGTGAATTGGTCCAGCCATTGTCCAAAACAATTTGGAACTATGACCAAAAAGTTATTAAAGTGTGCATACTCCTAAATTCCAGGCCCATACTACTACTAGGTATATACCCCAAAGAAATAAAAGAGGGAAAGGAGCCATATGTATAAAAATATTTAGAGCAGTTCTTTTTGTGGCGTCAAAGAATTAGAAACTGGGCAGAGTGCCCATCATTTCACAAGTGGCTCTGGTATAAAATGTGATGGAATACTAGTGTGCGGTAAGAAATGATAAAGGAAATGCTTTCAGAAAAACTTAGGAAAACTTCCATGAACTGATGCACAGAAGGCAGGAGAACAATTTATATAAAAATAAGAACATTATAAAAAAACAAACAACTTTGAAAGACCTAAGAACTCTGATCAATGCAATTGTTTTGCTTGACTGTACATATTTGCTACAAGATCTCTGCTTTCTTTTTCAATCTGGCTTGAGAGAAATGGAAAGAAGACAAGATATATGTTGGTAAATTGAAAAAATAAAATTTAATTTTGAAAAAGAGTGAGCACACTTCCAAGGTAATTCCTTTCATTTTTGATAGCTCTAATTGTTAGGGAGCCTTTTTATGTACCAAATTTGTTTCCTTGCAACTAATAAGGGAACTGATGGCAAAATTCTGGACTTAGAGTCAGGATGAACTGAGGTCAAATCTGGCCTCAGACACTTACTAGCTATGTGATCCTGAGAAAGTCATTTGACTTTTATTTGCCTCAGTTTAATCAACTGTAGGGTAGAGAAAATAATAGCATCTATCTCTCAGGGTTGTTATGAGGATCAAATGAGGTGATATTTGTAAAAAGTGCAGAACAGAGTGCCTGGCAAATAGAGCACTGGATACTGAAAAAAATGTTTATTCTCTTTCCCCTCCCACACCACAAAATTTCACCTGGTTCTGGGCCAAGCACAAGAAGTTGAATCACTCATACAGAAATATTTTGGATACTTGAAGGCAGATAGCATATGTCCCCCATTTTCCTGGCTAAATATTCCCAGTTCCTTTACTTGATGCTTACATGACCGAAACTCAAGAACACTCTCTGTACTGGTTATCCTCTTCTGTACATTCTTCAGTGTATCAATATACTTTCTAGAATGTGGCACATAGAAGTGAACACAATAATCCAAATATGGTACAATCAGGACAAATGAGAATATTGTTCTTTATTATTATAGTAGAACTACTTCCCTAGTCTTTAAAACTGTTCCTTTCTTAATGCAACTTAATACTGCATTAATTTTCTTGGTTTTCATATTCTCTGCTCACTAATGTTGAACTTGTAATCTACCCAAAAGTAATGTCTTATTCAGAAAAACTGCTGCTTAGCCTATACTTCACCAATCTTGTTCTTGTGAAATTTTTTTTTATCCTAAGTATATGATTTTACATGGTAGGGAAAGAATAAGACTGATTCCATCTAGAAGAAGCTTAGACAATTAAAGCCAATATGAAAGCACATTATTATGAAGTCACAAGGATGCTTATGAGGCAAATGGAGAATTTAAATATAGATATGGCAGTTTGAGAGTGTAAACATGGAAATATCAAGATGTTATAACATTCTTTAAATTTTGTTTTCATTGCATTTGCCATTCCTCCTCATAAATCTATTCCATATAAAACTAGAGAAATGATCAGAGTAATCTGATGTTATTTCCCTTTGTTTAAAAAAGTAATATCTCCTATATTATGTGACTTTTACTCAACTTGATGATGATTAGTTTAAAATTTTTGAGTTTCAAAAGAGATATTCTCTCTAAGTACTACAGGAGGATCAGGATCTGATCAAGTGACAATTTCTTCAGTTGCCTTTGAGCCAGATCAAGTTCTGGTGATCTTTTGCTCTCACTAAATCCTAATAAGGCAGCTTCCTCTTTTAGCCTCTGTCAGGCTCTGACAGATTTTATGTCAAGCTATTGATTTTTGACTAAATGGGAAACAATGGAACCAAGCTCATTGCCCTGTGAAAAGGGAATTTAGAGTAATAGTTAAAGATTTTCCTAAATGTCTGAATAGGAGGTTAACCCTTTTGGGTTTAAGGAAAACTCAAACTGTTTTAAAGGGTGAGATTATGCTGTCAACAGTGTTTGTATTTTGTGTTCTGAATAGAATACCTTTTCCCCTCTGTGGTTTGATCAGCTAAGGGAAAGGG